CTAAGAAGACCAACTCATTGGCCACACAACCGATGAAATATAAGGCATGATTAGGTCGACCGCCGATTATACCCAACGATTGTCTCATTGCGAACGTTGTCTTCAGTGACTTGAAATATATTGGATTAATTTCAGACAAACCCAACCGCAGAGGAATAAATAGAACTAATGATTTCCACGTTTTCTTCTCATTTACTTCTACATTATCTTCACTATCGGTTCCATTCGTTTGTACTCTACAAGAGTTTTCTAATAACATAATAATTATCAATAATTATCGCATGAATTAATAGATGTGATGATTACTAACTGATCTCATCGATGACAACCATGTTATCCATCGCCACATGAATGACAATATCATTGCATTTGTCATAAGCTGCGAGTTTCCTATAAATCAAACCATAAACACCATTGAAATGATATGTATTGTAATTGAATAGACAATTGAATGCATACTTTAAGACCTGTGCGATAGTGTTGGGTCCGAACCAATTGCCGACCGGCTTTCCCTCTGAGGCACCCATGAGTGCGATTTGATGTATAGAATAGAGAGAATTCCTCTTATCCTCAAACAGTTTGAGTACTTCTCTGTATTGAAGATCCGATTCTAACGTAAAACTCTTCGTCCACCGCCAGTCTCTGCTCAGGTGTCGTATGGATAAGGCCTGAGCCAAAGCCATTTGACCGCACCTTAACATACAGCCCCACCCGCTGTCCGATGTGAGCCCATTGGGGCCACCGATGCCCACAAAGTTCTTCCGATATGTGATCCAAATGCGAGACTTCACATCACTTCGGAGGTCATCGAGTTCTGCGAAGTGTGAGACAAAGACAAACCACTATTGAATCGATGGCTAAATATAGAGATAATTTTTGGGGCAAACCGTGGAGTGAACTGTATTTAATGCCCAAAAGCCAAACGGGGTCTTCAGTGGGCGGGAAGTCGTCGTCGTTGAGGTCAGAGTTGGGGTCGCTTTCGTACGACCAAACGGGAACTGATCCACACATCAAGACATTCAAATCATTGCATAATTGATAATTAAGTGAATGATATAATCAATGGATTGGTAAACTCACAAAAAGTATTAGATCCAGAGGGCAGTGCCATTGAATACAAGTCCATTGATATCCAGAGGAATACAACGGACACAATCACCACAAAGACAACCAAACGGATGGTGGCGTCCGATAGAGGGTTGGGGTTATGAGCAGTGGTTTGCGGATCAGATTGAGTGACAAAAGCGATTGATATGAGCATTGATTAAGACATTGAGCGCTGATTTGGTGAACATTTCACGCGTTTTCACACAAAAGTGTTGTCAAAGAAATGATTAGCGATTTCTTGTGACCCAAAAGTTACGTCCGTTTAATGCAATCGTGGTTTGGATTGAAGTTTTCGATGCAATCAATGCCTGCAAACTGTGGGCACAACTCAAAGGGTTGTCGTATTATTGAGCCGTTTATTACTGTTTAACCAAACGATTGACTCGTTTTGTAAACATTAAACGCAACAAAACATTGGCTTTCAGTGAAACGTAGTGTTGGACTGAATTGACTGATCGCTTGAGTCATTCAGTTATGCATTCATATGACTCACCAATAGATGGCATTCACTGTCGCACCAAAACGAGACACACATTAGATATGCAACTTATTTTCCCTGTTAGAGGGATTCCACGGGGATTCCCTGTTCCCTGTACAGGGAAAATACAGGGCAGGGAAATGATAATCAATGAACAGGGCAGGGACAGGGAATCCCTGTAGCCCTTAGAGGGAATCCCTGTAACAAAATTTCCCTCTAATTTCCCTGTAATACGGAAAGTGAGTGGTAAATATGTCAATAGTTGTGAATGAATTTTGTGTTGTAGAGATTGTAATACAGTTATATTACTATAATATAAATGTATTTTAAGTCTATTTAGTGAAATAATAAAATATAATGAATAAATAAACGTTTTTTATAGGATATATTCAATTAAAAAAATTTACAGGGAAATTACAGGGAATCCCCGGGGTTCCCTGTTAGCCTCTACAGGGCAGGGCAGGGATTCCCTCTAAGCAAAAATCACAGGGAACAGGGCAGGGCAGGGA